AGCCTTCCTATCCTATAGTGGGAGGTGATTTCAACGCCAATCATCGAACATGGGGCTACGCAAACGATGATCAAAGAGGGCGGGTACTACACGAGGCATTAGAAATGTCGACTTTGAATGTATGCAACTTACCGAGATTGCCAACCCGTATAGGGCTACACGGGAAGCAACAAGACACGACGCCCTATTTAACGCTAGCCTCTGCCGAGCTCGTGCGGCAGTGGGCGGTTAAATCGACAACATAGGAAGGCGACTATGTACCACTTGTTACCATGCTCAATCGCAAAAAAAGGTTACAAAGAGAAGAGAGGTACTCGTTTTTGACTGGGAGAAATTTATCACGGCTATCGGGGATTTTTTCAGATTTCGAAGGGTTCAGCGCTGCAGTCGCTGAGGTGCGTCCATACGCCAGGGACTGTATTCCTTCCAACGACACCGCGACGCACAAGGATATGCATCTTGCAAATCTCTGGCGCAAGGCTACCCGCCCAACCCAACAACACCGATATAAAGAAAAACGTCATCGGGACCTCATGCGTCTCGAACGCCAATACAGATTGATCAAAAATTACCAAGAAAAGCTCGAAGGCGACGCAAGGCACATGATACGTGCGCAAAGCTGGGTCGCGAACCTGCGTGGCCTAAAAAGGTTATGGCAGGCTCTCATGAGCCTACTTGGGAAAAAGAATGCGGCGCCTCCTCTTTCGGAATTCTTCCTATGGGAGGACCGCGTCATTTACACTTTCTTCCCGCATGCTGCTGAAATACCACCACTACCCTGGCAACGTATCACAATAGACGACCCTTAAGTGGAGCTGGACTTACACTTCACGTTAGCTGAGCTTACAGCAGATGGCACAGAGCAAAATGTCCGCTCCTGGACACGATGGGTAGACTTGGCTAGACCTTCGTAATCTCAGCGACGATACACTAAAAACATTTTTTGAACTGTCATTAATGAATGCTGGGAATCTGGCTTTGTCCCCGACTCGCATAAACTTTCGCTCATCTCTGCTATACCAAAACCGGGAAAAGACCGTACAAAGCCAGTGAATCTGTGACCAATAGCTCTGACTTCAACAGTCTGCAAACTCATATAGCGAATGCTGCACACGTGGATACAATATTACATCGAATACGTGTAACCCGGGCTGCACCCTGCACAGGCTGGTTTTCGGCCGAACGGGGGCACACTTGACTGCCTCTGGTTGCTTCGCAGAGTTACCAACCCGAAATCTCGCAAACAGACGCCAGACTATATCCTTGCAGTATATATGCACAAAGCATTCGACAACGTGGAACAGGGGGTTATACTACAAGAATTGGCCATAAGGTGCCCCAGTCAAATAGCGTATGATTGGATTCGCAACTTTCTCCAATCGGGCTTCACGGCAAAGCACCGGGATGGGGTCCGAGGACCAATTATCTGGATAGGGGTGTGTCCCAGGACTCTATCCTCGGTCCTCTGCTTTTTAATCTAGCCACCACGCGTGGGGCAGAAAGGCTTGAGCGAGAAACTTCAGCCCGTTTTACTATTTACGCAGATGACATCATGATATGGACAGCAGTGGCAGATTACCATGATGATCAGAGCATGAAAACTGAACTCCAAGCAACTATCCTTGCCATTGCCGATACTCTAGACCACCTCGGACTTCAGCTGTCGCCTGAAAAAACGGAATGGATCAGCATGGACGGACAGAAGGCGACCAATACAGGCAAGCAAATCACACTACTCATCGGCGAAAGCGCTATTACGTCGGCTAATGAATAAATTGGGGTTCTTGGAGCACAGATTGCTGGTTGCAACCGTCCCCTACAATCGATCCGAGCCTTGAAACGCGCGTAGAACCCAACGTTTCACATGGTCCGACGCATTTCTAATAAGCACGGTGTAGCAAGACAGAGAAGATGCCGAACACTTGCCAGAGATGTGACTGTCGGAAGGATTTTTTACAGAGCACCTGCGTATGAACTGTCCGATTGAGCCCTCGGTGACGTCGCAAAGGTGCACAGGGCAACCCTTCGTAAGATAGCTGGACTCCCAATGCACACAAGGAACGAGGAGCTGTTCAAACTTCTGTCACTACCTCTAATAAGGGATGTAATCAAGAATTTGCATGCGATGTCAGCTTGAAAACGCACCACAGTGCAAAAAAACCATAGAATGGGACAATCGAGTTCACACGTGGTTGGGGCACGAGAAAACGACACCAGCATCATCATGAGAAGCCCCGCTGAGCGCACGCAAACAGCACCCGATCGCCAGGCGCAATACAACCATAAGACAACTCTTCGAAAAAAAGGCAGCGCCTCCGCAAACTCCGGAACACAGTCATCTACACTGACGCCACAATCCCTCACGAACAATCTAGTATGGCCTGGGTCTGCACATCCGCATCCCGCCACAGTGGTTGTCATAGTTGCCAGCTTCCCGGTGGGGCACCCTTACATGCAGAGTTGTTTGGCCGTATGGGGAGTGACGAACACTATTCTGATGAATGTAGGGAACACTACAAGCGACTATGTTCCAAATGATTATCGTACACTGACAGATTCGTACAAAGTGGTGGCTCAGCTCACAGCAACAACTGAATACGTTGTGGCCAACGACATAAGAAGCTCATTTCCGATGGAGGCGGAAATGTTGTAGGCCCGTGTGCTCAGATTTGGGTGTACGTTAAAGAACTCCAGGTCGTCGAAATTTCCCGAGCCCTCCACTACGGCGTCTCTCATAATAATATGGTGGTTTTGGGACGTTAAACCCCACATATCAATCAACCAATCAATCAATCAATCAACATAAGAAGCTGAAAAGATTACAGGACTGCGGAATCAATGCGGAAAGTTTGTGGACACCAGGCCACACTGGCACGGACGGGGGAAATGAAGCTGTTCATGCGGTCACCACGCAAGCGGGTGGGCTTGGCTATTAGGATTACTTCACACCCCAGTTCGTCGCCAAACCAGGAGGACCTCCTCAATTTATATCTAAAAATAATACGCGAAGGCTCTCCTAGCCAAGCCTTTATGAATTATATTCGCGTAAAATTGAAAACCGACAGTAAACGAAGGCTCTTACAAGCCAGCAAGAGATATTTTTCTACAAAGTTATGGCCAATGCAGCGTATACACAACATGTACTTCAGAAATTGTTTGGAGCCAGACAAGCAACCGGTAACGTTTCTCCTCGATGCCCACATTGTCAAGGAACATGATGACCAGATTTACACCACCTCGTTTAGGTTTGCTCTGCTTTCTCGCGAGGAAGAACGCACATTCCATACCTGCCACGCGGCAACATAGGAAATCAAAGTGGACGATTTGGCCAATTGGTGACACATGATCTAAGTGTACTACGCTATAGAAGACATGGACTGCGCTTGTCCTTGTCTTTTTCCTGTCTGTGTTTTCAACCGCGTAGTCCACTCAGACAACATAGGAATCTTGGGCGTTGTGCTACAGTGTAATGAAGTTCAAAAAGCGCTACGACCTATGCTATAGTACAAGTGGCCAGTTTCGAGGAGTCTGGAGGAGATCGACCAACTCGGGTGAATGCGTCTTAAAACGTCTACTTTTACCGGTGAACGCGAACTGGTGTATATCTTAATATGCTCACGCTGTGCCCTTAATAAGTCGTTCCTCCCATATTCGCAAACTGCGGCCCAGAGCCGTTTTTTTTCTTTGAATTACAGATTTCATTTAATTATTATAAACCAGTGGAAACAACACAACCTTAGCAGAACCTCGCGGCAGACTACTGGGTTACAACCACGTTTTGAGGGAGACTCCGGGCAAATGCTGCCTTCACATCTGCTGCCAAGACATAGTGAACGCTTCCACTCCAGAATTTTTTTTAAATCTCTTTGCTTACAGCAGCATGTCATGTCCCACACACTAAAATACATTCAGACTCTCGGCATCATATTTTGCTATGCGCATGCGCCAATATTATTTCCCAGTGAATAGCACTTTGGAGACCCGCATTTCGGTCCTCCATAAAGAAATGTCGCTAAAACATTGGAAGTCGTCGTTATTGGTTTGTCACATGAGTTATGTCACCTGTACCGCAGACCACCACACTTGTCTCGAATCCATAAGCACACGAAGACATTACTGCTGATTGGCACGTATGGCTGTCAGCACAATCTAGTCCAGCTGCGTTCTTTTGCAGTGCTTGAATACTTCCACTTTAAATTAAATACATGCTTTGAATTAATATATATGTTATAGTGCAAAGACTGTTGACCATCTGTTATGCGACCATGCTCATTTTAACACTCACAAAATGCCGCTATCTTACACAATAACATGGTCAGGTCATCTGTCTTCATGATTCGATTCGTTTTGTCTTCAATAATGCTGGAAAAAAACCTGGTCTCAAGCAGAACTCATAGAATTCGGTAAGTCATATGAGACACTTTCTAAACGTCATGTTAGAGATTATTCCACTGCACACGTTAATTTCTGAAGAAATGGCAGACAATGCCGCGTTGAAGTGCGTGAAGTAAAGGTGCCTATATAGCTTCAAACAGTGGGCAAGACACAAGTGCCAAGTTCTTCAGAATTAAGTTATATGCAGAATATGAAAACTGTCACATTACATAATAACATACTACGTTTAATCATTGTAGGTATACATAAATTCTAACTGTAAAATATCAATGATAAATTATTCATCAAGTCCCTTCACACGTGCACGTCTTTGCTATGAAAGTCATAATTCAGAATAAATGCCACAACACAATGGCCTTATCTGTCACTTTCACTCACTGTCAATTAGTTGTCTCGCTCAACCAGAATACGTATACTTGATTATTTTGGTAACTATTCTTGGTACTAATAAAAAATCTCATTAGCGTTCTATGCAATGCACAGAGCAATCGCAAAATTCATTTCTAGCTTTCGAAAACGCATTATATCTGTATAGTAGTGACATCACAATAGTAAGATATCGAATCACTTCGGAGGTCATGGCTCAAGCTTCAGTTGATCTCATGTCGCTCAGCAACGCCCATATATAAGCACAAGTTTGTCAAGACGGAATGGCGTCCTTTGTCCATACGGTTGTGACCTCGACAATGGAACGGTTTTCTATACTGTGGCTCTTCTGTTCCTCACTTTTAGGTAATCTGTCGATTTTGTTGCGTTTTTTGCAGCATTGTGGTTCATGTCCTAATCAATAACTTTAATAGGGCCGGTCCATATGATTTCTCAAGCAATTAAACATTGCTAGCAAAAAAAATATCATTTGATGGAACGCTGCGCCTAGAATACTTGTCTTATTCGACAAGTCGACCGCCTGTAGACTGTGTGTGCTCCCCGAGTGTGCTCGTGATTGTGTGTACCTTCTCATCTCTCTGCAACCTCTTTTTTCCCCTTCATTCCTTCCCCAGTGCAGGGTAGCAAATTGGATGTGCGTCTGGTTAACCTCCCTGCCTTTCCTTGCATCTTTATCTCTCTCTCGACCACTTCATCTTGCTCAACAGCTGAAAATTAGCGCTAGGCCCAGTGTCTGACCGCTGGTTTCAGCGGTGCTCCGCACTTTACTATTGCTAAGCATTCTCGTGTTATCTTGCTCAACTGCCTAATTAACCTCACTAATTATTTCGGAGTAAATGTTACGATTGTGCTTAAATATTACTTTTTAGTCTAATGCTTGAAAAGATAATGTGCATGTGACTAGATATATTGGACTGAATTTCGCAGCAAACTGCCGAAGAATGTGACGGTAAATTGCCCCTAATATTTTCTGCATTCGGGGGGCAGTATATTTCACTGAGCTCGAAATGTCGTCGTAAGAAATTGGAACAGCTTGTTATAGTTGTTTACAACCTAAATATAAGAAGCAGGTCAAGGTCCACATCTCCGGCGTATAATTCATCTGTGAGAGACAAAAAAAATACTGAGTGGTTTTTGTTGTAATCATAAGTACTTTTTCAACACTTACATCAAGGCTACAGGCGTTAGTGATTTAATGCTTTTCTTCCTTACTTTTCAGACACTAAGTTTTCCCTAATAGTGATGTCACCAGCTTCCCTGAAGTTTGCCATGGAGTTCCAGTTTTCTACATAAAGTCAGCCACACGAACATCTTCATATAGAAAAATCCCCTATCTGGAATACATGAACTGCACTTGGCACCACGGAAATGAGAAAACGCAAATTAGTCACACACCTGTGCACTTTTTAAATGCGAAGCATTTCTTAGCGAATTTCAGCGACTTTGACCGTATCTATCTATCTATCTATCTATCTATCTATCTATCTATCTATCTATCTATCTATCTATCTATCTATCTATCTATCTATCTATCTATCTATGACTCTTAGCTCTCCTGGCCGTTTCGTTATTGGTATCAATACCAAATTTGGTATGGCATAACACGACTGTTTGACGAGCATAATTGACTAGTCATAAGATGACTATCATGAGATGCATGTCATGAATGTCATGATTTACATTTCATGGTCTTGCTGCTCTCGCGGTGGTTTCGTTCACATGACATGTTGCAAAACTGGTATGGTATGGCATCGCATGACAAACACAAGCGACAGACCCAACATGAAAATCATGACATGCATGTCATATGTCATGAGTCATGACTACACACCACGCTCATGGTCCACTCGTTTCGCTAGCTTCACATATACGAAATTTGGAATTGCGGGACGTGAATGCATGACGAAGGTATATGACTGGTGCAAACATGATAGTAATGAGATGCGTGTCATGTTAGAACATGACTACATGCCGCGCTCATGATGCGATCGCGGTCGTTTCACTAGATTGACATGTACCGAATTCGGTATTACGTGACGTGAATGGATGACGAGGGTATGTGTCTGGTGCACTATTCTAACACTGTGGTCTGGTGCAAACGTGGTAATCATGAGATGCATGTCATGTGACATGACTACATGTCACGCTCGATTATGATGCGCTCGCGGCCGTTTCGCTAGCTTCACATTCACCAAATGTAGTATTACGGGACGTTAATGGATGACGTAAGTAAGTGACACGTCCAAACATGTTAATCATGGCAAGGAAGTGAAGCATGAGATTATTTGCGTCCGCTTCGTAATGTTGTGCTGATTTTCAAGTGACGTATCAACCGTCCTCATTCGTGCTTCGCATATCAATTCCCACTATACGTGGGATCTGCCATTTTTTGTGTGTGTGTGGGGCAGAAGAGCGACGTGTGCGGGCAGAGCCTACATTGTCATTATGTTGTAAGCAACTATTCGCAATGTTCATAGACTGTCGCGCCGCCTAGCAGAATTCAGGAGCGTCCTCTTAAGGATGATCAGTAGGCAGACGCTCCCAACGCTCCCTTTTTCGGAGGTGCTAGCTTCAGTGTGCGTGCGTGTGTATGCTACAAAACATGAATAAGTATGCACTTAGCGGTTGAAGGGTGCACTAGTGGCCGGATTTTGCTATCACGTTCAACTCTTAAAGGCGAAGCTTAAGGGTCTCCCAATTTTTTTTTTTCACGCTCGTAAGTCAATTTGATTGTATTTATTGTATAATACCTTTCAGCGAGCTCTAAATAAAAAACTGTTTTTACTTGTGCATTGCGTGTATCCCAATTACACAAGCGCCACTTAATGGGAAGTTAAATGCTTGTGTTTCATTGAAGAAACAGCTGCAGGATGATCACAGCGCAAGTAATGACGACGTAATATGTTTGCAAACCATCGCTACGGTAAACATTCGGTCTTGTGCAGCCGTGACGGCCCGCTACTCGCTAGTGGCATACTACGGCGGGAAATTCACCAGGCAGGCTCGGCACAAATTATCTTGGAGTGCCGTTCAGTTCATACGTGAGTTCTAGTTTGCGCAGTTTTCTGTAGCACGCACAGAATTACGTAAAGCATCATTGATAGACGGACAATCAGCTGATACCACCACCCTTCAAGCTGTGGCAAGAAATGAGGTAGCGAACATTCAGCAGTTCCTATAGTTTGGGAAAGTACTTTGGTCCGGTGTACATTCATTTGACGATAAAGAGCCCATCCGGTGAAAGCGGCACGGAGTGTACGTCCGTGCGTCCTTTTTTTTTTTTCCTATATGTGAGTTCACGGGTTGATCATCCCTTCGCAGCCATCTTGGATTGCACGGCGCGCCTCCTACAGGCAGTGGGCATTGCGCATAGCAGAACATTCTTCCTCATTGACATACTAAGAGGTTTATCTGCGAACTATTCCATCTTCATACCATATTTCTCTTGCAGCCACCAGCCACCAGAAGTCGTTACCATGGCGAGGTGTCAAAGTTTACCCTCGGGTATTGGAGAGTCGGGGCAGTGCATCTGAAAAAGTTCTCATGGTTGCTGCCGGATACTCTCTCGATCTGCGCAAGGCGTCTGTCCTCGCAGACAGCGTGTTAATGCGAGATCTGACCGACAGTGGTGTCGTCGAGTTTTACGTAAGTGATCGCCAAGGTGGCTTTTTAATCCAGTTGGTATACAGAGGTCTAGGTAAGAACTCCAGCAGCAGTGAAAGAAAGCGAGGAACCAAGAACTATGAGCGGACTTCAAATCGAAGGAAGCGTGAACATTATGACAATGTGAGCATGTGCGGCAACAACGGCAATCACATTGGAAGTTGCCCTATCACTAGATGCTAGTATTCTGGTCAATAACCTGGAGTTGTTTCTTAATCAAGATTAGACATGGCGTACGCGCTAGCACTCGTTTCAGGACCAAGTTTGTAGCCCATCAATATTTCAATACTTTGCATCCTTCTTCTTGATTCTATTTACTTGTGTTGGCATTTTCGGGGGTTCTTTTCTTTTGCTGTTGCTGCTGTTGTTTCTTTTCTTTAGGGGAGGGGAGGGAGGGGGTACTGTTTGCATTCCCTTCTACCTAAATTACGTTTGTGCAGACGCTTAACGACCTCTGTTTTGTACGAGGGGTAAAGTGTGCCTGATAATTTGAATGGCACAAAGATGAGTTGATGGCGTTGTTGCCAGCTTACGTTGTCTTTCTTCTGTCGCGTTACGTTGCTAACCTGTCGGCTTTGTTGAACTTTAAGAACAACTGTACTTCTGTATACACTCATTATAGGTATATTGTCGCATATTTTCCTATTTCAATCCTGTAACTGTAGCTCTACCTGCATTTTCTTACATCACAACGTACAGCAATTGACAGGTCTGCAACAAACTTTCTGCTGTGCATTTCTGCACGCGGTATACACCTAGTGACATAACAGCACGGAAAATAGGTGTTTTGGCCTCACTGCTTCGCAACTCGAAAGCTGGGAAGTGAATCACTTCCAATTTGACTTACCAGTGCATCCACCACATTTCTGTTTAAAGGGCCCTGCAACACGTTTTGAGCATGGTCAGAAAATGCTGCCGATCGGTAGTAGAGGCTCCCGATAACAAGAGAGCCAAATAATAAAGCGCAGAACGTGGCCTGAAATTCACAATAAATTATTAATCCGCTAAAAATTGCTTCCCCCTCTCTCAACAAATCACGCAATAAGCCCAAAAACCACTCGTAGTAAGCCCATTAATCACCCATTGGCTGATTTGATCATGGCGCGCCCGATGGTTAGAGATCGCCGCGGGAGGCCGTCACTTGTCCACGCGTGTGCGTGCGATCGCACTGGAAAAGCCACGTATTCGAAGAAAAAAAAAAACGCTCAAAGTAGTAGGGCGCGCGTGAGGTTTCTTTGTTTGCCCCTCCCATCCCTCCTTGCTTAGCTTCCAGCGCTTTTGGCGGGACGAGAGACGAGAGAATGCGTTTGCAACGTGTGACAAATCTTTCTAAGTCTGGTCGTACTGGATGTATTCAAAAAAATTTGCGGCGTTGAATTTGTGAGGCAATACGCTTTTCCGGTGAATTAACTGCATGGTTACTAAAAAGTGTTTCAGTGCCCTTTTAAGAGTGCAAAAGGAACAAAAAAATATTCACGTGTGCAGTTTTCATTAGTCTAAATTATATTTAATTAGTCAGCAGTATATGTGGTAGGATGCCATAACAGCGTTAATATTTTCTTTAAAAAAATGTATACACGTGTGATATGGGCTCACAGTGTTACTTCAACAATGCACTTGCTTGCATTTTTTCAAGATTGCCGGAAAAGAACACGAAAGGCACCTCTACCAGGATTCTGAGAAAATGGCGTCACTACTACTTCAGCCTCAAGCGGGGGGACAGTATCACATAGTGAGACCTTTTAAAAGACATCCGGCTCGTTCGTAAGTGCTTCCTGCACGACATCACAGAAGTCTTTTTGCATTCGTTCAGGTTGGGCTTCTCAACTCCACACATCAAATTCTACCCGTCAAAGCATCAGAAAGGTCTTTGGAAGGACCAAACGCTCACGAGATATTGCCGATCAAAACAAATGACGGAGTCAGCGGTGTGATCGAAGCAGCCCGTAAGTTTATTGTGAATGCATTGATAAGTCATGGTCATTAGCTTTACTGTAACCTTCGTTGTTCAATGTTCATTTGCCTCAAGTTTCAACTTTGATATAGAATATACCAGATTGAAACCAAAACAGCAAAGAAACTGACAGTCTCGTGAATACATTCTCTCAGTCAATGCATACTGTAGAAAAACCACCAATCAAAATAAGCAGGAAAGCTGATGGCGTAGCTCAAGCGTAAACACTTACCTGACTGTTTATTTTTTACTTGTCGTGGTGGCACAAGTTACATTGTTTTCTAGAGTGGCACACGAATCCAATATTTGCTCGTTATTGTCTTCCCGGCGTGCAATCTGATAAAAACGACGCATGTGCGTTAGTCTTATTGGATATCTCAGGTCTTTCCCACTGTGGGAATAGCCTCGCTACTGTGTATTCACTCCATCTTGATATCGCAGTAATTTGTTGAGTTCTATGCGCCAGAACTCTCATGTAACTACGTGGAATGCCATAGTGGAGGGCTTCAAAAATTTAGAACATCCGTTTTTTTTTTAACGTTTACTGACATAGCCCAGTACAGAGGTCTTCATCAATTCGCCACCCCTGATATGCGATGCTGTGGCCGGGATCAAAACACGTGACAATCAGGTCGACAGCAGAGCACCGTGGCCACTGTACGTCCTCGGTGCGCTTGCATTGTCGTGACGGCAAACGCTGCAATAATAGAGGCATAGATGAAGCTTTCGCAAAGAACACACCCTGTTTAAGCTAACGTATGTGTTTCGCTTATACTTCAACAGCAGAAGATAATAGTGTTTATATTAATACCGCATACCGTCTCTTCCAGATAATGTTTATCGGGAACAAGTAGTAAACTCTAGGCCAACCGGTGAGTCTTCTCGAACCTACAAATAACTTTTACAGCACACGAATCCGTAACACAGCTTAGGTTACACCTGTTGATTTTTTTTTACTGCAGCACGGTCCATCAGCCTTCCGGAAAACTTCACCATCGAGTTGGCCTTCTGCAGCGACTACTATCACACCAAAGCCTTCGGGAAGGACACAAAAGCACGTGTCCACTATGTCATAACCATGGTTCTCGCGGCAAGTAAAATCTCGCTCGATTCGCATTTCATTCATTCACCCACTTTGTTATCGGTGATGAAGCATTGCGTACTGCTAACATTCCCAGTTTGTAAAGTGGTGATTTTTGCCTGTATAGCGGGTACCTCAGAACTGCAGTGCAGAAATCACCCTATGACAGTTAACAACTGTCTCAGTGTTTGGCCAATCGGTTCTGTGGAATCTCGCAAGGTGGCGGAAAGGTCCAATTTGAAAAATTTACGGCCGTTTGTCTGTCACGCGAAACCATGACGAAATTCATGCACATTTCTAAGAAGAAATGTTTCTTAGTTGCCGCGAAATTAAGCCATATCTGGTGATCGAAACCGAGACGAACGCCTTTCTGAAATGATCGCTCCAACAACTCTATTAACCAAAAAGCTAGCAATGGGCAGCGCGGGGCTAAAAGAAAACTAAAATTCAGAATATTCCCTTGGCCCAGCCAATGTCACGATTGGATGTAGCCATGTGTTTGTAATGCGACTGAAAGTGTGCATAAACGACGCCAAAAAGAATGTGGTAACCAATGCACGGGCCTGCGGTACACGTGGCTAAATCTAATCACTCATTGGGCCAAGGCAACGCAAATCGCAAAGAAACTGGTGTTCGCGTAAATATCTAAAATCTCTTCTTGACCATACTACAAAAAAGAAAAGAAAAAAGAAAAAAGAAAGAACCATACTACAAAAAAGAAAAGAAAAAAGAAAGAAAAAACAAATCTGCTCCCAGTGTACGACCGTTGTCTCAGCAGCGTTCTAAAACCGACATAAGCCCACTTTGCTGGGCCACTTTCCTGTGAACAAGGCTACTTTTTTTTTTCAGTTTGGCTGGTGTTTTCATTTGTTTGTACCTCATGATTCTTCTTTACCAGATGATGATTCGTCGAACCAGTTTTAAACGCAGAAATAGTTCAAAGAACTGAGTCTCTATGGCAGAAAAATGTCAGGCAAGGTATTTCAGCTTTAGCAGCAGGAAACCTGGAAAAAGGCGCAAGGTACAGTTCACTTTTGGTTGATGTGCATGCTGCAAATCTCTATTGTTCAGCTATGAAATGTACTGTAACAATACTGATTGTTGGCCTAGTTGGTACTTGCTTACTGACATGCTTTGGCCGCAAATAACACACACACACAAAGTAAAGAAACACTCAACGACAAGCCGCTGGTGCTTGTCGTTGAGTGTTTCTTAACTTTTTGTGTGTGTGTTATTTGCGGCCAAAGCATGTCTGTTCAGCTATGCACAAAAGAAATCTTCAACCGTTCCAACAAGGCAGGTCAAGATCCAGTGTCAATATATAAGGGGTGTCTAGGGAACGGTTGGTGCCCTCTCTTGGGCCAAGCGAATGGGTCGTCACAACAGCAGAAGATGCACGCCAACAAGTTGAGACCCTGAAGTGTTTCGCCTCTAAAACGTGCACAAACGTAGAAATGCACAGAACACACAAAAAACAGAAATACCTTTAGACTCGCAAAGGGGGGCATCAGCTTCACTTTTTTGATAACTTTTGTGGAGTGGTGTTGGCTGTATTTTTTTATTGTTGTACGTGTGATATTGTTTTGTCAGCCTTTGTTTATCCGCTGCTGATCATTCTTCTTTATTGCACGTTTGGTTACATTACAGGAAATGAAAGTTCAAAGCCGTGTTCTGTTTTCTCATATTCGCAGGTCAGCCTTCGGCTGCAGCAGCTCAGTCCTCCAGGTTTCATTTCTATTGTTTCCATTCAAGGCTCCTCTACCGTAAGCGCACCAACTCACTGTTTTATTCCAAAAAATTGAACTGGCTACGTTCAGACACAGCTTTTGAGCCAGCATGAAACACTTTTTGGGAAGCTAAATTTAAGCAAATCTGTCGAACTACATAAAGCAGGGCGTACAATATATCGTGCGAGACAATATTCGATCAGGGCTAAGTATACTAGATAACTGGTAGTGTCAAGTAAACACATTGTATTTTATTTGTGGCTACTTCCATGCAATCTTCCATAGCCACGACACTGGCTAATATAGGCTGAGTAACTCTTGTTTAGTGTTCTCAGTTCTTACTCAGTACTGGCTACCTTTGTATGCTATCCTCTCTCATAGCAGCGTAATAATGTAACATGCTATGCGAATGTCTCTTTGCCTCACTCCATTAAACGTTCCGCACGGAATGACTGTTTAATTTCAGAAAGTTTGATCAAAAACTTTTATCTTGTGCCCAATATTTTTACAAGGCGGGTGTAGTCAAAACAGTACGTATATGTTTGCAATAAGCGTAAAAATAGAGCAGGAATAGTTATAAAACATATTTTAATAAAGGGAACAGTGTGTTCTGTATGCTTATCATTTCTTTTCATTCCAGAAAAAGGAACCTTATCTAGCTAAACTGAATGAAAGCGTCCTGCTTGGCACTGAAACGTTGCGCAACTTGTCGAAGTATGCCGAACAAGAGCTCTAAAATGCGCCAGGCCGACGTAGTGTTCTTAATCACCGGGTAAGCTTCCCCTTCTACAAAGGGTCAATATTCGTCAGTATCGGTAGCAGTTCAGATGGGCACAGCCTGCTCTATCTGCGGGGCCCTTAGCTCTCGCCTGTCAAGGGCAGGGGAAACATCCATTCAGTATGGATTGCAGCGAAGTCGGTTAAAAGCATCAAGCGACGTCCAGCGCAACTATTAACAGACCACACTCGTGCTCGTAAATTCTTGCAGGATGCTTTCTATCTGCAAAAGTTTAGCGCGTGCTTTTTAGGCACCCTTTCCGGTGTTGATCGGCGTCGGTGGAACCGAGAGAGAGAGAGAGAGAGAGAGAGAGAGAGAGAAATAAAAGTTTATTTAGAAACAGTGTTCCGAGTGAGGCCCGGTGTCACCGTAAGGGGGGAGGGTTCCCTAGTCCAGGAATCCTCTGGGTTTGACTGCCCTCTTGGTCCTGGTGACGAGTTGTCGCTGGTCTTCCAGGTCCTCGAGGACGAGCTTAGCCTCCCACGTTTCTATTAGGTGGTCGTCGTTTTTTCTTGGCGCTCGGTCCCGCTCCAGTTGCACGTTGTGGTTAGCATGGCACTGGCATTCCAGGAGCAAGTGGGCCAGGGTGTCTGGTACGGAAGCAGACACTCAAAAAAAAAACGATGGAGTAAAAGGGGCCTCTATTTGTCCCACAACAATAATCACCATCTCTCCTCCATTTCTTTCCTTGCTCTGTCGCAGCACGCCCGGCACTTTCAGGTGACGAATGATATGCACATTATCATTGGGGGCATATATCTTTCTTGATAGGAAAGTGGCCAGCGCCCAATTTTCACGAAATAAATCGCAAGCAAGCCGCATGATGATTATTGTTCTAGGACGAAAAGACACTCTTTTTACTCGATCTTTTTCAGAGTAGACAGAGCGAACAAGGGCGAAAGGAAGTAAACCCAGAGGGCAACAGGGGATGCAAAAAGGCGATATCAAGGAGAGCGCAAAGTGGAGCAAATGGCAGTGGCACGACAACAGGTGACCGCGCCGGCCATCCGCGGTGCCACAGTAGTGCACGCCATCGTGCATCGGCTGTTGTGGAACGCTGCCACGCGCTGCCTTACGAGTGGTAGTCATGTTACGCTCCGCCATCGACGGTTGATTTCAGCTGGATTGCATAAAATTCATCACTAGTGACTCTATTCATGGCGTTCTCTCCTGAATGCAAACAGTGCAGCTGTATACAAAACAGTCTCGGCCAGCTCTTTCTCAAAGCGACGCAACCAGTGGAAAGTTGCTACTGCTTCTAAACAAGCTGCCCGAGCAGAGGCTCAATGCTACCGACTCCAGAATTCAGGGCCGCACGTCACTAAAGCGTAAGCACTTGCCTCAACTTACCGCAAAAGCTTGACAATTCATTTATATGTAAAATTTAACGCCCCAAAACCACCAGAGGATTCTGAGACGCCCTAGTAGAGGGCTCCGAAAATTTCTGCCATGTGAGGTTCTTTGGCGTGCACCCAAATCTGAGCGCACGGGTCTACAGCATTTTCGCCTCTTTCAAAAATACAGCCGCCGCAACCGTTATTCGATCCCGCTACCTGCGGGTCAGCAGCCGAGGACCTTGGCTACTATACCACCACGATGCGTTACAGCAAAAGCAAGACACCAATAAGCGGTGCTCAGACTTTCCATTACGCAATGTCGTAATCATCGGTGAAATTTTCGGATTCTGACATCAGTTGATGGCCAGACAGGTACCTCTTCGTCACTACAGCTCTCTGCGAATACCGGCTTCAGTAGCTTATTGGCCCTAAGCTTCTTTACATCCCACCGCATACATACAGTGACCGCGCCCCTTCCCTGGTTTGTCTCGTTACAGACTGAAGTTTTTTGTTTTTTTTTACTCCAGGTGCAGGTCAGTAAGCCGAGGGCGCATATTTATTGCTTTCCTCACCTCTTCTCCTCTTGCTTTCTCTCTCTGCTACAGACACTTTTTCTCACGCCTTTCAGACATATTATAACTGCGACAGCGTTAAGAGATATACTTCAGTAAAGCTTGTTGTTGGGCTGGTTTGAGCAGGCTAAAAAAGAGCTCGTTTCGCAGAAATCATGACATCAGGGGTAATAAATGAAAAATTATCTTGTTCGTAACCTAAAAATCGAGAAATATGGAAATAAAATAAATCAGAATAATTTCCGCGTCCGAGTAAGGATCTAACTCAAGCCATCGTCGTGGCAAGCATGCATGTGTTCTACCAGAGATCCATGAAATTCGTTGAAACTGCTTCGGAAAAAATACAAGTAACTCCCCCCCCCACACACACACACCCTACGGTGAATAATAATTCGACCACATTTGTAGGGGTAGGGCACATGCTCGGTACCGCACCAAAATTCAAGATGGCGGTGAAAGGTAGCTAAAGATAGGAAAATTCCCGTTAATGTTTCAATAATATGCATCAGCTATTTGCTTAACCGCAAAAATGCATGGATAGCATCGCCTCACATTCAGTGTGTTCATTCTTGTGTTGTTTCTTTTTTACACAAGCGCTGTTTGTTTTGAAAACAGAAATTTGTTTGCCAAAAGGGCGAAGCAATGAATGCGATAGCAAGATATTCGAATGTTAAACGAAGCAAGAATTGCATTTTAGGAGCATTATTAATTGTAGTAGATCTGCGCTTGCTAATTAATGAAGTTTTCTAATG